TGTGTGTGTATGAGCGTCAGAAAGCTGAACAGTAACCTGAAGAATAATTAAAGTCATTATGCTAGAGCAGCTTCTCTGTTGTGGACCACACCAGCCTCTTCTACAATAAATAATAATTATTATTATTATAATAATAAATAAAATTTTAATTTCCTTTCTGAACTATTTCTGTTGAGTTTTAATGTTTAAAATCTGTTAGATTGTTACTGACAGCAGCTACGTTTAAGTTTCACTTCCTGTTCTGGCTGAACGCTGCTGCAGCATGGAGGTGTAGTTCTCAATCATCCTGGACATGATCATCCTGAGAGTTTTAGCTGGAAACAGCTGCACGTTTCTGGATCTGTTGGAGACATTTAGCCTCTCATCCCAGAGGCTTCTTCCACACTTTGGTTGTGGTCAGAAACAAACACACTGGTTGTGCTGCAAGTCTTTTTCTTTTTTTCTCCAAAACATGTTTGTGTCTAAATGAAGGTGATGTTGATGTTCATAGAATTAAATTCATGTTTAAGTTAAGATTATTTCATCAAGTAGGACCTGTGGTTAGCTGGCTCGTGCAAAACATGGAATGTCTTGAAAGAATCAGAATCCGGAATTGATAGGAACCGGAATCGAAACGAGGAATTGGAATCGGAATCGTTCAAAATCAAACGATGGCCAACCCTACCTAAGATTTCCTTGAAACACATCGTTTGTAAAAACAAAGTGTATAAAATTGTCTAAAATTTCAGGATTTCTTAAAAAAAAAAGAAACTGAAGGTGTAGTGTTCATCTGGTGGCCAGCAGAGGGCGACCTCTCTTCCTACAGATCTTTTTTAACAAAAAATTTAAACTTCGGCAGCATTTTAAAAACAGAAATAATTATGAAGTTTTTTTTTTCTACTAGCAAAACAATTTTTCACTAGCATGTGTCAAATCCAGCACATCTCAGCTGGGAATGCATCCCAGATTACCTGGTATGTCCATAAAATCATCCAGGTTGGGCTGCAGTGGAGTCAGGCCTGGCTGAATGATGTCAGCGTTACAGGTGTACGCTGAGAAGGGACAAAATGAATAAAGTTAACCACAAAACAACCTGCAGGAGTGTTTTGATTTAAACTTACACCGTGCCACTAATCAATGTCTTCATTGTTTATTTTGTCCAGTGCTATTTGCTAAACAAACATCAATACTTCTGATTGTCTTTAAATCCATTTCAGGCATTTTAAATATTTAAACAACTTTACTGAAGTGTATTTATGCTTTCAAACTGTCACTGTCAAGGTGAGTGTTTGAGATATTCCAGCATAATCCTCTAACAGTCCATGCTAAAAACTAGTTTTACGTCCTAGTCTCACTAGTCTCAGGGCAGTTTTTCACCACTACTCAAAACACACCTTTAAAAATCAAGCATGTTAGAAATATTAATTTAAGTGTGTCATATTTCAGGAAACGTTTCTGTTCTTAATCCATCTCTAGTTTGCAGAGTTGCAAATTTCATGCATCACATCTAAGATTCAGGTGCTGAACTTGTTCTCACCCAGCAGAAGCTGATCCTGATGCAATACTGAGTTTGCATGTTTCTCCATACGAGCAAGGAGATGGTTAGGACCCAAAATGCAGATACCCAGGATGACACGAGGCAGGAGTGAAGATTAAGAAAAATCATTTATTTAGGATGAACCAAAAATAAAATAAATCCAAAAAGGCTGGAAGCCAAAAACCAAAAATATCCAAAGCTGAACTGGAGATCCAAAAACACTAGAAAACTCAGGAGACACTGGAAGCAATAGAAACACTAGAGAACACATGAGAAGAGAGTGACAAGCACAATGGAGCCACACAACAATGAGACAAGGACAGGGTTTTATACACTGGGGCTGGAGTGATAGGAGACGAGGAGTAGGTGTGTGGAGAACTGGCACAGGTGAAACCAATAACTGAGAGGAGGAGCAGAAAGGAGCAGGGGAGGACACCAGACCTGACTGGGGAAGGACAACACACACACACACACACACACCGAGCTGGGGAAGGACACACACACACACACACACAACTGAAATAAAAGAGGTATAGAAACTAAGGTGGGGAGACTAAGAGACATGAAGAAAACCTGGAGGGAGGTGGGGACAAAAAAGGCTGGAGCTACAAGGACACAGAACATGAAGGGACACCTGGAGGGGCTGGGGATGACTGAAGGAACACAGGACCTGGGAGGAATGAGCTGGAGGGCTGCAAACAGGAGGCACATGAAGAACCAACACATTCTCACACCCTAAGCGTCGGAAACAAACGCTTGGTCAGCCACCCTCCACGTCAGACCCCAGACGCCAAAAGTGCCCTTTTTCGTTACTTATGTGCGAAAAGGGTTTTTTCCCTTTTGTAACTCCAGATCCCAATGCAGCGTAAAACTGACGTGATTAGATATCCGCTGATGCGGCACAGAACCAGCTCATTTAACCGTAGCTAAACCTTAACGTTTCACTATTTATAACCATCTCCTCTCCCTCATCCTAACCTTAACCCTCATTTAACCGATGCGGCACCGAATCAGCTCGTTTAACCGCACCTAAACCTTAAATGCGGCACCGAACCAGCTCATTTAACCGATGCAGCACCGAACCAGCTCATTTAACCGATGCGGCACCGAACCACCTTGTTTAACCGCACCTAAACCTTAACATTTCGCTATTTATAACCTTCCCCTCTCCCTCATCCTAACCTTAACCCTCTTGCTACCTAAAACGTTACTCTCACTGCGATCAAGCATTTGTTTCCCCTGCATTCTGACTCTGACAGTCAGAGTCTGACTGTGAATTTTCGTATTTGCCGCCCAAGGGGAACGTTAGAACGTACCATCTGGCGAGAGGGAGATTACACATACCCTCTACTTTTAACCTCCAACGTGGTAGTTGAAACCTCCCCCTCGCGTTGGCTCGGTCCAAACTCGACCAATCATGAGGCGGCTCCTGCCGTTCACTTCATAGAGCCGGCTTTTAGAGCGATCGACACATCACCAACGTGTTCGCTGGCAAGATGGTTAAGGTTAGGATAGGGGTGAGGGGAAGGTTAAATAAGAGGATAAGGTTAAGGTGAGGTACAATGAGCTTGTTTGGTGCCCTGGCTGCGGACATCCCATCGCTTCAGTTTTACACTGCATTGGGATCTGCAGTCAAATAAGGGGAAAACCCCTTTTCGCACATAAGTAACGAAAAAGGGCACTTTTGGCGTCAGGGGTCTGACGTGGAAGGTGGCTGACCAAGCGTTTGTTTTTGACGCGCTGGGAGTGAGAACGTGTTGCAAGAACACAAAGAGACACATAAATGAGATGCAGACAAAGAACACATGAGGGCGCTAGGAGACACAAAAGGAGAACCTAGAGAGGGATGGAGAACACAAGGAGACACATGAGGGGAGACGCAGACGCAGACCGTGACACCATGAGCATGTGAGGGATTTCACCCGATGCATTTAGAGATTTTTAATTGATTTCAGGTGAGAGTACTACTTGGAGATCTTTCAATAAAATAATTTACTGTGATATTAAAATCTACAACTGAATATGAATAATTAATGTCATTTAATTAAGCTGAATCTATCAAAATTACAGCAGATTTGATTTTTTTATGTCATCTAACTCTGACTCTTTTCCAAAGTTTCCCATTTTAATATTACAAAATAGGATTGAGGCCACTGAAAAAATGATAACAAGAAAAGAAATTCTGACTTTTTTTCTCAGAATTCTTTTTCTTTCCATCCATCCATTCTGTTCCACTTATCCGGGATCAGGTCATGGGGGCAGCAGCCTGGGCAGAGAGGCCCGAACTTCCCTCCTCCCAGCCACTTAGACCAGCTCCTCTGGGGGAACTCCAAGGAGTTCCCTGGTCAGCTGACAGACATAGTCCCTCCAGCGTGTCCTGGGTCTTCCTTTAGGTCTCCCAGGCTGGATGTGCCCAGAAAACCTCACCAGAGAGGCATCCAGGACTGGAGGCATCCGATGCCCAGGCTACCTCAACTGGCTCCTCTCGGTGTGGAGGAGCAGCGTATCTACTCCAAGCCCCTCTCGTGCGACCGAGCTTCTCACCTCATCTCTAATGGAGAGCCCAGACAGCAATCCTCTTGAGTACAGAATGACTAACGAATAGAACTGAGGAAATTAATCAAATAATTGATGTATCGAGTTGCGAACATAAATAATTATGAACCATTGAAGAAGCATATCATAACCAATAGTGTAAAGCGGTTTGTTTGTTTTTCAACCGTGGCATAAATATGTTATTCTAAAGATGTTAAAAGCCAATATATGGACCCCAGGTATTAATTGGACATGTACTATAGGTTTTCAGTCCTTTTAAAGGTGTGTGTGTGTGTGTGTGTGTGTGTGTGTGTGTGTGTGAGGTTTATTTGCGAAGCATCTATAAAAACAATGCATTGCTGCTGACCTAAGTGCCGGACAAAGTAATCAATGCTCACAAGACAAATCCTTCAGATCAGGTATGAAAACCTCTGTAGGAAATAAACTCACACCCAAAATTCCATCCGAGACGGTACCAGAATGTTAACAGCGTCTCACACTCTGAAAGAAGTGTACAATCTCGCTGGTTTCCTATAGTTACATAATCAGATTGAAATAGAAAACACTAGATTGGAGGCTTTTAAAATAAATTATCCTAAGATTGTTGCAGCAGGAAAATGTAACGTTTCCTGCGTGCAAAATTAAAGCATTTGAAACATTAAAATACTAATCCCAAATGTATTAAAAACGCTATTCTGGCCCAGTGAAGACAGTGATAACGTGTATGAGTGCCGTTTTGGACATTTGACCACGTACGCACGTTTTCCCCATCGACATATAAATATAAAAAGGTTTTCCCGAGCGGAGTTAGTGGTCGTGTTTTATTTTTTTTATCTGTGGGTGGTTTCGATCTTCTGATTGGCTGCCAGATAATATAGGCCATTCTACCTCCTCTGATTGGCTGCTGAACAATGTAGGCGGTCCCACGCTCTGTGATTGGCTGCTGGACGGCGTCTCCTCCGCAGCGTGTAGTTCCTCCCACAGCGGTCACTCAGGCTGACGTAAAGGAAGCGGCACGCAGAAGTCTCGCTTTATACTCTAAAATACACACATTTAAACGTTTATTTACAGTCTTTTATCCACCAAGGTGATACCCGAAACTCAACGGGAACTTGTTTAACCGAAAAGGTAAGTCTGACGCCTGTGTTTACTTCAGAACATTTACAGATGTGTCCGATGCTACAGTTATTACCTCAGCTGGATCCCCCCAACCGAACCTGCTCTGGTTCTGTCCTAAATATCCAGTTCATTCTCTTTCTATGAATTTTTGCATTCATTAGATTAAAGAAGCGCGAATGTCCCGCTGAACGTTGCTGAAGCACGAGGAGAGGCGTTAGCAAAGCGAGTGTAGGTGTTCTGTACAAAACTGCGGTTCAGTTTAGATGAAGTTCATTTCTGTGCTGCTTCATAGAAGTGCGACATAAAAAGATCGGCGTTTTCCTCGCGGTTCCTTCCCGTTTAACGAGTCTTTAAATAGCGGCGCACGTGTCTGATATGTGGCATAACAACTCTATAGGAAGTTGTAGTCGGGTAAAAGGGTACGAGGCCTGTCACGATGCTTTACGGTAAAGAATCCAGCTAAAACAATAAATCCATCAAAGTAACAGGTGAGATACACGCATAGCTCTTACACGGTGTGGAGGAAAGGTCATTCAGTTCATTAAACACAATGAAGCCCAAGTTTTATTGTTTATATAGAGTAATCTAATTTCAGCTAGTCTCTAATTTTGACTGGATTAGAAGAGGAATTACACATGACGAGAAAAGCGTGATTGTAAATCTCTTTTGGCAAATTTTTTATACTAAAACTTCCTCCTGCATCTGGACCCATTCTCCATAATTATTAACCAGATTTGTCACTTTTACAGGTACATCACCCTGCACGTGACACATGATGGATGGCAATGTCACCAGTAACATAGGAAGGTCACACAGGGGTGTGTGTGTGTGTGTGTGTGTGTGTGGTATTAAAACTGCCATCTTGGGCTGTGTTTAGGACCACGTGTCGTGCACTAATGTTTTTTGGTTATCACTGATTAAATGAGCCTACTCGGGTACCAGGAGATCATTGTGACCTTACCGCTGAGTGCTACAAGTCTGTGAGTTTAATCCAGGAATCTTAATATCTTCTGTACGTTCATTCTGTGTATCTTTTCAATTAGCACTTCTTGGTTCTTTTTAAACACAGAAAACGAAACGTTAGCATACAAGGTAAAAAACAACTTGTCTTTTCTGTGTTTAAAAAGACCCAGGGATCTAATAATTACCAGTCTTCTGTTTTAGCCTGAGTGGCTCTGCCAGCCTGTCCTCCCTAATGTCCTTAAAAGCACCACGTGGTTTGAATAGTGTTTAGACAACAGGGAACAACCAGGTTTTTGTTTTCACTCATAACAGATCACCAGGAGATCACAATCTACTTCTTTTTAGGAGTTAATCTGTGAACCCCACTCTGCAGGATTATGAACAGTTAACATTTTATCTGCTGTAGATGTCTTTGGACAGCCTGAGTTTGGGCGGAGCATGGACGTTTCCATAATTTCAGTTTTTACGGTTATTCTGTCAGTCGTGCTGAGATCCCAGCCTATGTCTGTCCACAGCTAATCTGCGCTGAAATAATGTAATGTTTAGGCAGATTTAAACATTTACATGAATTGCTATGAAATAATCTGAGATTAGTGTATCTCTGAGACTCCAGAAATGCCCTGTTCAGATTAGCCCATAGCTAACTTTTCAGATCATAACTGGACTAAGCATTGGGATATATTGTTTGTACTCTTTCAGTCCCCATGAATGAGAGCCGGGAGCATGTGGCTGGTTGATTATTACCCTACCATATCATAAGACTTCTTCACCTGTGGGGAAGTTGATCATTAATCCACATCATCATTTGGGTCTTAGCATCTGTAGAGAACTCTTTATCTGGACTCTTGATAGTTTGGTTGTGGAAACATTTACTTTGTTGATTAAAGCAGTCAGATCAGCTGATTTTACCTTCCCTCTGCTCTAAACAATTACAAAGTCAGCTGTGTGTGTGTGTGTGTGTGTGTGTGTGTGTGTGTGTGTGTGTGTGTGTGTGTGTGTGTGTGTGTGTGTGTGTGTGTGTGTGTGTGTGTGTGTGTGTGTGTGTGTGTGTGTGTGTGTGTGTGTGTGTGTGTGTGTGTGTGTGTGTGTGTGTGTCTGTGGTGTTGACTCTGCTACGGCCTTTTCTGGATTACAACATAGACTTGATGTGTTAGGAGGAGGATTGTGAGGACATGAAAAGATGCTCTTGTGGAGGAGAGGATTTCCTGCTGCTGAGGCACAGATGAACGTCAGACTCTCAGGGGATGGAGGCGGTAATTAAGCCTCGGTGCTGACAGTCAGTCTGCCTTCTTTTCACTTATGGGCCATTCCCATCTGTACCGGGTCGGCCGGGTAGCGTAGGTTGTTTACATATCTGGGTGGCCTGGTATTTTTCCGGGCCAACCAAGGCTCATTCTCAGCCCTCTTCTCGAGGGGGTCTGCTTCAGGCCGACCAGGGCCAACACACCCACTGCTGACAGCAAAGTCACACCTTCCATTAGAGCAAGCCTCTGATTGGTGGGTAGAATCAGCCCACATGGACTTAAGGCAAGGATGTGTGGAAACAACCGGGCCAGGCTGGGGCAGACTGGGGCTACCCGGCCCGGGCCGACCCGGTACAGATGGGAATGGCCCATTAGACTTCAGCCTTTACCAGAGAAAAGCTAAAACCTGACCCGTCTTCTTGACAGAACCAGCCAAAAAGGAAAGGTTCCAGAACCTGCTGCTGCTAACCGATCTGTCCTCTGCTCCGGGCCTGGGTTCTGTTGGTTAACATCTTTTTAAACTGGACCAGCAACAGGATGATCCTGTATTAAATGAAACATAACCCTGCGGCCTGATAACCAATGATCATGAAAATGAGGCCAGTCTGTTGGATTCTGTGATTTCCTGATTTTCTTCAGGCTGCATGGTGGTGCAGCTGGTAGCACTGCTGTTGGTTGCAGGTTCAAATCCCAGCTGCTTGGAGTTAGCATGTTTAGCACATTCTCCCCATGTATGCGTGGGTTTCCATCCACAGACCAGAAGCAGGGGTGACGAGTAGATTGGAGAATAATCGATGCATCCAGTTGCGAACATTAACGATTCTGAATCGTAGAAGAAGCACGCGATAATCGATTATAGTGGAATGCCGTTTTGTTTTTTTAACTGCAGCACTAGCGTCCACATTTACCGAGTAGGTAATATTGGTCCCACTTAATGTGGTGTTGCAGGGCTGAGCGCTGGAGTTCTAACCTGAGACTGAACAGAGTTAGCCCGATGGGTTGAGTCAGATTTGGGCCGATGAATTATGTTAAGTGGGTAGAGTCACGCTCGGCTTGAGAGAGATGCATCGGGTCTCTGCTCACACAGCAGAGGAGTGGAGAACCACCTCTAAACGCGTCATTTATCCTCCTTGGTGTTTTAAGAGGTGCTTAAAAAGCTCATGTTCAGTCGGGCTCAGTCAGGCCGAGTGTTGGGAGTGCTGGGATGATGTTGGGAGATCTGGTGCAGGATCTGATCATCTGTCTCTTATTTAGGGACATGGAGAAGTTTACAGGAGAGTGAGCTCCACCCTGCAGAACTTCTTGTTGCGCTTTATTTTCATGGTGATAAACTGATGTTAAAGTCAACATCAGAGACTGGGAGGAAGCTTTGGTTCAATTTAAGTTACAGGAGATCTTGTGTCCCATTTGCTCCTCCAGAGACACCATGAGGAGATAAAAGTCCCACAGTGAAGGAGATCCATCAGATGCGTCATTTAATCCTAATCCAGCCCACAGCCTCCTGCTGGTGTTATCAGCAAGAATAAAACCAACATCTCATGTAATACTGGAAGTAGGGATGGGACGATAATCAATACGTGGTTATTTTGGTCTCTATGTCGACAATAACGTCATTTTTCATCAATAATTTGTTGGATATCGTCCAGCAAAGTGAGTTATCGTCCCACACCTAACTGGCAGTTTAGGATTTTTCTGAATATTTTAGTATTTTCTGCATTAAACAGAACTTTCTGCTACATTTCTCAAATGAGACCTTTGGGTTCAAACAAAATAACAAACCACAGTAAGCCTAACATTTCATTTGGTGTCGTTTATTTCTTACACCCTTGAACTGCAGCATTAATGTTTGACTCTAAAGCTGCTCAAAGACATTTAAAGAGACAATATGTAGTTTTATTGTTAATCTCTGCAAATATCCATCAAAATGTTGTTGAAAATGAATGAAATGATGCCCAGTTGTTGAAAATTATTGGCACCTCTGTTGTTGCTTGGCTTCCTGGGGCTGGAGGCTAGGAGGGAGATCTGGCCGTCTGGTTGGGGTCTGGGGTGGTGGGTTGCTGTGCTCAGCGTTGGGCGGGGGAGCCTGCTCATCAGCATCCCAGCAGAAAGGGTCAAACTCTGGTTACCGGTGATGTTTGTACCCAATGTGCAGCAGTACCGGGACCAGAGTGAATAGGGTGTGTATGTGTGAGCATGAGGGAGGGAGTGTGTGACTGTATATGTCAGGTGGGGCCTTTGACTCCTCCCTTCTCCTGGGACTTCTTTTGATCATATTGATCTTTGTCTCCCCTCCCCCTGCCACACCTGGTGAGGAGTGTGGTGCCTTGGTCTGCCTGGGTCGTGGCTCCCGGGTCAGGGAGTTTAAGATTTTTGGCGTCTGCCTGACCAATCCCGGTGGCTGCCTGGTGGGGTCTGGGTCCCTGGGCTCTGCTGGGTCCCCGGCGGGGGTGGTCGCCCCTAGGTCCCGGGCTCGGCCGGCTAGGGGGTGGGAGGCTGCGGGCAGGCCTGTGGGCTTGCCGCCGATATCTCCCGGGACTCTGCCGGCTGCAGGTTGTGGCCCCCCTGGGGCGATCCTCTGCGCCTCTCGAGGGGGGCGGGGGCTTTTCTGGTCGTAGTCTCCCTGGAGTTCCTGTGCTCTGGGGCAACTCCTGGATCACTGGGAATTGGAGCTCCCTCTGTCTCCTGCACATCTTTAGGGGGCAGATCTGTGGTCCCTCACACTCTCCAGTGGACGCTCCTATAGAGAAACCTTACATAAACAAGCGCGTGTACACACACAGGTGCTCACATGGTGCTCTCATG